CCGGCAACCGTCGGAGGCATCAAGCCGGGCGCGTACAAGATTGGTAACACCGGTGGTATGATGGACAATATTGTCGCATCCAAGCTGTACCGCCCTGGCTCCGTCTCATACGTTTCCAAGTCTGGTGGTATGTCCAATGAGCTGAACAACATCATTGCGAACACCACCGACGGCGTGTTGGAGGGCATTGCCATTGGTGGTGACAGATACCCCGGTACCACTTTCATTGACCACGTCCTGCGATACCAGGCCGACCCGAACTGCAAGGCAATTGTCTTGCTTGGTGAAGTTGGTGGTGTTGAGGAATACCGTGTGGTTGACGCTGTCAAGTCTGGCCAAGTCACCAAGCCAATCGTCGCATGGGCCATTGGTACCGTTGCTGGCATGCTCAAGACTGAGGTCCAGTTCGGCCACGCTGGTTCATTTGCCAACTCCCAGCTCGAGACTGCGACGGTGAAGAACAAGACCATGCGCGAGGCTGGCATCTACGTGCCCGAGACATTCGAGGAGATGCCTGCTCTTCTTGCTCAGGTCTACCAGAAGCTGGTCAAAGATGGCACCATCAAGCCTGCTGCCGAGCCTATCGTTCCCAAGATCCCCATCGACTACTCATGGGCTCAGGAACTCGGTCTCATCCGAAAGCCTGCTGCCTTTATTTCCACCATTTCCGATGACCGTGGCCAGGAACTTCTGTATGCCGGTATGCCCATCTCCGAGGTGTTCAAGGAGGAGATTGGCATCGGTGGTGTCATGTCTCTGCTTTGGTTCCGTCGCCGCCTGCCTATCTATGCCAGCCGTTTCCTCGAAATGGTGCTCATGTTGACTGCCGACCACGGTCCAGCTGTGTCTGGTGCCATGAACACCATCATCACTACTCGTGCGGGCAAGGATCTCATCTCCGCGCTGGTGTCAGGTCTTTTGACCATCGGTTCGCGTTTCGGTGGTGCTTTGGACGGTGCTGCCGAGGAGTTCACCAAGGCCTACGACAAGGGTCTCTCTCCTCGTGACTTCGTTGACACCATGAGGAAAGAGAACAAGCTCAGTAAGTTTGCCATCCCCACCTCTTGTTAACGTTTGCTAACGAAGTCAGTCCCCGGTATTGGCCACAGGATCAAGTCCCGAAACAACCCCGATCTCCGTGTCGAGCTCGTCAAGGAATTCGTCAAGAAGAACTTCCCCACCACCAAGCTCCTCGACTATGCTCTTGCTGTCGAGACGGTCACAACCTCCAAAAAGGACAACCTCATCCTCAACGTCGATGGCTGCATTGCTGTCTGCTTCGTTGACCTGATGCGCAACTGCGGTGCTTTCTCCGCTGAAGAGGCTGAGGACTACCTGAAGATGGGTGTCCTCAACGGCCTCTTCGTCCTTGGCCGAAGTATCGGTCTGATCGCCCATTTCCTCGACCAGAAGCGTCTGCGCACTGGTCTGTACAGGCATCCGTGGGACGACATCACCTACCTCCTCCCCTCCCTGCAGCAGGGCGGCGCGCCGGGAGCGGAGGGTCGTGTCGAGGTCACGTTGTAATATCTGGGTTCAGGGCAGGAAAAGGAGGAACTATCCGGCATCAGGTTTCATACCACTTGGACCTCGAGGGCGTTTCTCATCTTTTGCAATGGGTGCTCATCGGGCGTGTTAGAGAAATATTCCATGTCACTCTCACGATGTGTGGCTTGGGTTGTAGCAATATTCGGTAGCTAAGATTATCACTGTTCACAGCATGTTTTACGTGCGCGATATGGAGTGGCGAGGTCGTTGTTGCTGTTGCTGTTGATGACGGTACGAAGATATAAGTAATTTAATCAGTTTTCTAAATGTATAGGCTAGGCTGGCTACTCAACTAGTTGGCTTACCCATATCTTCTGCTCTTTGATCTAAATTAAGCTATTTGTTCTAAGACGGGAATAAGATCGTTGCGACGGGATTATGGATGTAACAGCGCGGGAAAGTCTATCTGCATCTGCACCTGCACGCGGTTCGGCAAACCGGATACTGAGGGCATCGACGAGAGATGAAAATTGGTACCTGCATAGCGACCTAGTCGGCATCCCGCTCGCTGATCGATTGCAACAACTGGATCAGAGTGCGAAGCTTCCTTCTCCGAATCAACTGCCAGCACCGAATCGTCCTCCTTCTCGCTCAGCATTAGTAACAATACGGGTACTAGATGTGGTTGAAAATGCACAACATTAAGTCTTCTCTCTTTGTCTCGACATCTAGATCGTATTATTGAGCTTCGGCGAGTTTTAAAGACGTTGAATCTCGTTGAATCTTGAGTACTCATGGAAAAACAATGGCATCAAAACTGCGACAGAAAGTAGAGGGGGAGAAGTCGGTCCGTGGAAATGGTATGAATAACACCTAGATTTGGAGCAGAAGGGAAAGTGGACGCATTTACGTGAATACACGTGCCTTTGCAAAGGCTGAGGAATGGCGTAGCAGAGTAGCGTTTAGCAGGGTGACATACGAAAGCTCCACTGAATACAGGAGGAAGCAGAGGAAAAGGCAGAGCGAAATATTACCGGGACGACCTGAGACCTTTTATAGCTGACGTCGAATGCGGTGATTCTATGATCAAACAATCTGTCAAACATCGACAACTAGATCACGCTCCACGCTCCGTAACCTGCTCAACTCAAGGCCCTCGGACCGCATTCCAGTCATCAATCCAACTCATGCCGCTGATGATAGGCTTGATGCGGATTATACTTCGACTGCGATGGTGCTTCCACGATAGGTATTGGTGCCGGGGTAGTGGCGCTTGTAGAGGGCTCTACAGTAGTTCTGCCTGTACTCTTGGATTTTTTCCGAATCACCCAAGCCAAGTATAAGATAGCGGCGATCAAAGTAACCCCAAGTGCTGTGCCGACGCCAATGCCAGCTTTGGCGCCGGTTGATAGGCCAGATTTACTTGACACAGATGTAGATGAGGAAGCGGTTGTACTGGTCGACACAGCGGGGGCGGAAATCGAGCTGGGTGACGCGCCACTTGACGTTGGTGGAGGTGGAGTTGAAGATGTTGCTGTAACCTGTCGCATTGTTCGACATTAGCCAGCTATCCTACTAAAAGGACTATCCTGTAACCAAATCTCACATACAAGGTCCTCTGCACGAAACCGAAGTTGGACACTATATGCGTGGTTGCCGCCGCCAACGTCGCAAACAATGTTTTTAATCGTGGACGAGCCAATCTCCGTCTCCGTGTATCTGGAGCTGCACGCAGAGGTGCAACCGAGCGTGGGTTCCCAGGGGAACATCTCATTCGAAATGGTTCGAGTAGAATATCCCCTTACGAGACCTACACGTTAGAATAGGACCCTCTTGACAAGGCTGAAAACGAGAGCCGGCCCAGGCACGGGCTTGGAACCTACGTAGGGCAGCACGTCAAAACAGTTTCAGTCTCTGTCCCAATAGAATTAAGAGACTTAGCAGCGGTGGAATAGCCTTCAGGGCACTGCAATCCTGGCGAGTAATAGAAAGTCGACGTTGGAACGAACGAGGGTGGCAGACATGAGGAATACCCGGATCCTCCTAGCAACCCGTAAGTGTGTTCGGCATCGTATGTTATTTGCCACATGTCTGTACATTGAGGTGGAGGCGAGAACTTGGTTGTAAGGGCAACAGCCATTTTGCTTGGTACGTGGAGCGAAGCATATAGGAAGAAATGAGAGATGAGGATTTAGAAAGATCATGAATGGAGCGAGCGGGGAAGTAATGGGGCCCGGAAGGCTTCCCCAAGGCGGCCGCAAAACTTGCTGTGGTATCAGGCCGAAGCAATGTCAGTACGCGGCAAGATCAACCTGTGCGGTAAGACGAATTAGGCTAGTACGTTACCTTAAGGAGTAACGTGCGCTAGTCTGAGAGTACTTATCATACTTACAAGATATAGAGGAATAGTAAGTATCTTTATCAGTATGGAGAGTGTGCGCCGAAAATAGATATTCGGCTTCGCGTGGCATGCTTATACTACTTATGCATACTAGAAGGAGATCATCTCACGTATATTTCAGGGTGTTCGTCGCTAGCTCCCGCTCTACACTTGTGGCTGCAGCATGGGCATGGCTATAGCCTTTAGATTCGAAGCTGACTTTAAAGAGTACAAATGATCTCTGTCATTGCTAGACTCTGTAGCGAGCCACCTTTTTAGAGATTAGTCACAACGATCGCAAGTATCTCGTTGATTAGTCCTGGCCCCTTAGATATGCGACTGAGGAGAGTGGACGGGATGGGGCTAATTCGGCGAGAGCGGTTTCTCTCTATTCTAAAAGACTAATGCTAAAGAACGATCGGCTTAGAGGCCTTCATTTTCGGACGCAAAACCCTCCAGAAGTTAAGGCACGCAAGCCAACACGATATCGTTTATAGAGAAATTGAGTTGTATACAGATGGATTTTGACGGAGATTTGAGGGTTGTTGTTCTGGGTATCGAGATGGTAATTAGTTTGGAGTGATGTATAGTTTTGGAGTATAAAGGCGGGATTCCTTGCGCTTGAGTAGAAATGGATGATACTCAGGCTGGGGTTCAGGCTGGTACGCTAAGTGTCCAGAATCACAACCTGAGCCGGAGTTCAAATCTCATACTGCCAACCAGCGAAATTCTCAAGGGAAGGCTTACTGATGCAGATTTGCGCTATGACCATGAGATTGAGAATGACCGAATCTTAGTGAATCTTCACGTTTGAGTGGACTGGGCTTCTTGACTGTGAGTGACTTGATGAGGTTGTTAGCATGGTCTGTGTGAGTCTTAAGCGTCAACACGAGGTGGAGGTGAGGTGGAAGGTCTCTGTCTAGGCATGGGCTTAGCTTATGGTTTGTATAAAATGTAAAGGCTCTATGTGGTAGACTTTTCCTCGCTGTTGTACAACGGGGCTTTTGCTTCATCATCACTTTCGTCTACTCCCTTATCAATTGCGACTCGACAATCCAATCTCTACCCTTCATACCCGCCTTGCATCATATAAGACCTACCGCTGCTGGAAACTGTAAATAACACATCCAACGGATACGTAGTTTAGTGGTCAAAATACGAGCACATGTGGAAACGGTTCGGTACTCGCAACCCGGGTATCGATTACGAAGTACTGGTGCGGACTTTCGCAAGAGCGACTGTCTTATCGAACCCCAGGTTCGACTCCTGGCGTATCCCAAATGATTTCTTTTTTTTCCTTTAGAACAGTCTTTTTGTATATGGGCGGATGTCTCCTTATCTGTACTTGTGTAGTAAATTCAGGAGCAGCTTTAATAGCTTGTGTAGGGTCTAGAGTAACGAGCTCCTGGGCTGGTTTTGCTCTAGGATTGATGGTATACGACGGAAGCTAGTATGCGTATGTGGCCTGTGACTGGATTTGGTGGGGTGAATCCCTTTATCGGATGAAGTGAGACACTACTAGGCGAGTTATTAGGCATTGAAGTGCTTCTGCGGAGGATTACTAGTTACCCTTTAATTTTAGAGAAGAATTGCAAAGCGATGGGGCTGAGGCTATCTACTATGTTTGGATTTGATTGGGTGAAGCGCTTTGTATGATGTTGAATGGCGCTACTGAGCGAGTTGTCGTGGTTTGAAGTGCTTCGGAAGGGAGCTATCTGGTATTCCTTCGACCTTAGAGACGAGCTAGTTGGGTGAATGTACTGTGTTTAACTTCTGTAAGGCTATAGCCGAAGCTCTAGATGTGTCGTAGGATTTGATGGGGTAGAGTAAGTACTCTTTGAAGCGATGCGATATACTACTAGACATATTGTTGAGGTCCCAAGCACTTCTACTAAAGCTCTCTGGTCGTCTCTTAATGCCAGCTAACTAGCACCTAGATCCAATTCTAAACGCGCATCTGATCGTCGCTGTTGTTATTGGCGAAGCTACTCCTAAGCATGAGGAGTGAATGCTACCTCAACTGAAGGTGTTAAGGTGCGTACATAGTTTGTTAGCTTGCGTCTAGAGATCGTAATCTCTCTTTAAACACACAACGCTTTGCTTGCAATGTCTGGAGAACCAGTCTCACACTGATAAAGAGCCAAAAGCTGTTACTCTAGCTACTACTATAATGTTATCTGCCTGTTTAATACTATCCTTGCATTTATATACATGCCCGACTTCAACCTTACCCCTTTCCGATTACAGGATCTCCGTGAATCTAGTACAAGATACATAAGATCAGAACCACTGTGGAGCTTTAGCGCGCTAACCGGTGTAGTGAAGATCGATAGTAGTGATAAGAATGGTGTAATAATGGGCTGTGCGCTACCATCTGGGGAGTAAGAGATGCGCATTGAAAGTTTGGTTGGCTGAATTTGAAGCTCCCGGATTTCCGTCCTCACGATGCGTAAAAGGCTTCTCCTCGTGATCGCCTTGGCTGGTAAGACTGGGTGAGGCAGAGATTGGGTAGACCCGGGTCGGTATGTTGCCATGTGCGTTTAGATGGAAATATTCGATAATCAATAAAATCTCGTTGGCGCAGATAGAGATTAGCTCGAGGGATGTTGAAGGTAAAGTATGTACTCTTTTCTTTCCATCAAGGGTGCTGTTGGGCTGGACGTCGCTGGTACGGTACGCTTTAACATTGCTTCTGTTGGGTGGAGGCTCTTTGCCAATCGCCTTTGGAGAAGAGGTCCACCACGACCGACAGGTATGCCTTGTAATCGGTGGTTCGCGCTGCGATGCCTGACCGCTTGCTGGGAAACTTCCAGCCATTCGCTGTTTTAACGTCTCGGCGGTTTCTTTAGCAATGTCTGTGCAGGGAGACACAGTGAGCATAAGTGATCAGAGGATCAGAGTTGATTGTCGTCGGTCGACTTAAGGCCGTCCAGAAGTTGAGATGCTGTCCGGACTGAGCGGATACACCGTTGCCCGGTGCAGGGATGCAGGTACTGTGGCAGCCTAATCCAGAGTATCATCGATTTGATGCGAATAGCGTCTTGGGCAAATGGCTCTGTACGACGACTGAGTGGATCGCTAAAACCTTTCTTGGGTCGTTGTAGACTTTGCAATTTCGAAGTAGAAATTCCCACTTCACCGGTTTGTGGCTCGCTGTAATGATTGCCATGCTTCGACGAATTGATACACTGCTGGAAATAAGTAGAGATGGTGCTAATCTGAAACGGGTGCTCGTCACTTACCGAGCTAAGTGGATTCGTCGTTCATTCTTCTTCGATTTTGCGACTCATATGCTTCGTCCAAGCTGCCCTTTATGCCGATGCGGCACCTTGCTGGGGTACCTTTTTCGATGAAAGCGTCCTTGCCATTCTTCCATCTTTTCCTCTCTTGAACTGGTTACATAGCCTGTTGTTGGTAGATACCTCCACGTACTTCACCACTCCAAGAGATATGCACTGGATGCTGGATCTTCATCGCCCAAGTTCATAGCATCGTTGCCACAATGCAAGCCAGTTCCTACCCTCCCACGCTGTGCTTCCCGTAATCAACTCTTCCAACGGATGAAAATGTTTTGCCTCCATACAGTCATATGATGGGCATTGTCATCGGATCCCTTGCCTGTGTCGCATCGCACACGTCCTAGCTTCATGTATCAACTTTGCATAAACCTTGTTCCACGAGGCTTCGAGCTTTCGTTCTGTAGAGTATCGAAGACGGTGCTTTGTTTTCGCTGCTTCCTACGAGGGATAGCACATGTTGAAGTGGCGGTATAATTATTGATAGGACAAGCTGCGGCTGTTTGGCCAGGGTCAGATGGTAGTCTATCGGTCAATGAAAGATTGACGTACTGAAAGCTATTCATGATACAGGGCATCTAAGGCCCCATGAACAGTAATGTAGGTATCATGTCAAATGTGCTTGAGAGTTGTTGTTTTGGCTAGTATGCGCAAAATTTGGTCGTCTGTAGCTCGGCGGAAACATCGTGAAATTTTCCTGAAAACAGCGGAGAAGTTCGAGCAAGGACTTGACGGTACCGGCCGCCATTTCGTAAGGGATGGTACAAGTACTGGAGGTATCGATGCCTGTGGTCAAAAGCGAGCTGATGTATTACGCAGCCGGTTGGTGTTGTCTGGGCCCCGCCCCTCCCAGACAAAGAGCAGCAGACCTTTAATTTAAGCAGCTCTCCCATCATCTACGAGTTGTTAGTATGCCTTATCGGTATAATGAGGCTTACCTTGAGATACGTGTATGATGTACATTGTCTTGTCATCTTTACTTCGACATATAATTCGTGAAAGACGTCGACTCCTATGCGCAATTCCTCCAACAATATGACGCCTCAATCGTCGCTTTCGTATTCGTATTCGTAATCGCTATGAAGCTCATTGTTCACTCCTGAATTGCGCCCTGGAATCAGGTGATGCTTGCTCATAATGTCCTTCTTGCCCTGTATGCTCATCCATAGAGCGACCAGGTCGTTGACTGGGGCATCATCTGTCCGAAGTCCAACAAGGGCATCGCTTATGACTCTTGAATCGTACACTCCCCACCAGACTTTGTCAGATTTGGTGAGATGTTCTGGAGACATCACAACACTCTGGTCCTCGATGAAGTTGAATCGAACGACGAGAGAGAACCGAGGGGCTCGTGGGAGAAATGCGCCGATTCTATCTGTGTCGCAGGCCCACCCATCGGCGCCGATCGTTGGCACGGTCGGCTCGTCCGCCGCTAGGATGTCTTTCACAATCTCAGCCGTAAACTGGAAGGAATTTTCCTTGTCGTGCCGAACTTGAGTTTTCTCATTAACCCCTATGAACCCTTCCCGCGCCTCAGGAGCTGGCAGATATCTTGTCTAGATGGCACGTAAGATGATTAGTGATGCTTCAAATTGGAAGCTAAATCCATATTGGACATACCTTATTGCGGATTCCGGCATGTAACACCGCCGGTCGTCTGTCGTTGTGTATCCGCCGGTATTCCTCAAGCTGAGGGGCGATCCATCTTGGGAGCCCCTTTTCAGGGGTCTTTTGACCGGCGAGCCATGACTTTGGCAAGTCATTTGATGACCGAGCAACAACTATGATTGAGGGCTTAGCCTTTCCGGGGTCCAGGAGTATGCGGTATCTCAGCTGCCTTGTGGGCCCCCACCGTGGCGGCTTTCCACAATTCAGCTCGTGCGAGACTAGCCAGTAATAGTTCGGGGATCGCTTTGTACAACCAGGACGCCGACACATATGTGGAGTCCGAGGATCGTACATATGCTTTTTCCCATGACTAGCCAACTGTGTACGGCTCGTGAACGTTTCATTACAGCCATTGAATCGCTTCCACGGGCATGGGAGCAATGCATTATTGTCCCTCTTTTCGCAGAAAAGCATCCCGTGGGAATTGGCGCGCTCGTAGCTCTTATACTTTTTACCGCAATTGTGAGGGCAAGGAACAGCACCGGTCTTCTCAAGTGGTAGTAGCGGAAGCTGGCGAGACGTAGATTCGAGAATTCCATCACTATCAGTGTCGTCGGTGGCATGGTCACTGTTCCCAACTTGGACAGGACTCCGGGACTCAAAGGGGTCAAAGGTCTTCGAGACCTCTCTCGCGGACGGCTTTAAACCCACGTTTGCGGCAGAAGCTACCCTTGACACCGGTTTAGATTGTGCACTGGAGCTGGATTTCTGGACACCTTTGGAAATGGTGCCACTTCCGGATCCTGATACTCGCGGTGCGTGATTTAGCTTCTGCTTGAGCAGGTCTTTCAATAATTGAAACAAGGACTTCTCATCAAACCCGGAGCCCCGTTTTTCGAGAACGAACTGCAATAATCGCTTTGCGCAAGCAAGCCGAATCTTTTGACCGAATGCGTACCGCTCCTGTTCAGTACCTCCAGAAGTCGGCAAAGCACGACCGTTTGCTTGGTAGATCGCGACGAGAATGCTGATTGGACCGCAATCGATATTATCCCGGGATTGGCGAGGGCACGCGGCCGGACTGACATTTTCTGTCTTCCACTGTACATTAGCAAACTGTGACTTGAGACTCAACTTGCCTAGAGTGAGCAATGGTACAAGCTCTTCTTTAGCCACCTCACAACTTTTGCCTCCTTTACCAATAGCGTTCATGGGATCAAAGACCGAGATCTGGCCGATGTTGACATATTTGTTGTTAACGTTACGTCGCTTGTAGGAAGCTTCCACTGTCACGAAGTGTACTGTAGTAGGAGCATACAAGAAAATTGCACGTTTGGTGATGTCTGGCATGTCTTCGAAGGGGAAAACTCCCGA